TCCCTACACACTCTTGACAAAATGATCAGTTATTTAGTTGATAATAAATATAACTTGGGTCCCTTGAAAGCAAATGTAAAACCAATTACTAAATTTCCTATTTACTAAAGGAAAATATTAGGAAATTTTGGTTGACCCATTCATTAGGTGTTCAAATGACGTAGGGGAGAAAAATAACAATGTACCTGTCCTTAAAAGATAACATTGGTTTAAAACGTTTTTTATGTCATTCACTTCCTTAGGGGTGGACAAAGTTTTCTGCCATATAAATGATACTAATGGCTTATATGTAAAGTAAAATAGTCTGCTATTTATCAAATAGTAACTTACTACTTTGTCAGTATAACAATTTTTCCTGGAGCTTACCTGATCTGTAACATCATACACAACTATGATGCCATGGGCTCCTCTGTAATAACTGGAGGTGATTGTTCTAAATCTTTCTTGGCCTGCTGTGTCCCACTGTTATAAAACAATCAAGAAATCCAAACAATTCCATTAAAACAGAGTTGGGGAAAAGGAGGGAGGAGGGAGAACAGTTTAGTTTACATAGTTGTGGATTACCAGGATTTGATATAGAAACATTAGCTCTCTGTGCTCACACTACTAAATTGCAGGGTAACTGCCAAATACCCGAAGGTTCAGAAAAGAAGGTAGTATCTAATTTAGCTTGCAGTAATGCTACCAATACTATAATTATAAGCTCTTTGAGATCAGAAACTGTCATACTTTTCATATTCTCTACAGCCTTTAGCATTGTGCCAAGCTAGTATGAATGCAAAGACAGGCTGACTTGGTTTTAGGAAAGCTACTGGTCTACTAACACCCCTGTAACACAGTACAACTCTCACACATAAGACAAAATTACTTGCTAGCACAATTTATCATCATGGAGAGCACTGAAAGGACCTAATGCAGATAACCACCAGTCAAGATAGCACTTTAGCCATCTCTGGAACAATTATTTTAATCCTAGGGAAAACAATGTAGGTAAGATGATTCCAAATACTTTTATAAAATACATTTTAAGAGCACTTTACCACACTTCATTTAGGCTCCAACACTGGAAACAAATAACATTGCTACATTAAAGTTCTGGGTTAAAAAAAACTATTAAAAATACCAAGGGACTCCCTGGTGGCACAGTGGTTAAGAATCCACCTGCCAATGCAGGGGACACAGATTCGAGTCCTGGTCCGGGAAGATCCTATATGCCACGGAGCAACTAAGCCCGTGCGCCACAACTACTGAGCCCGTGCGCCACAACTACTGAGCCCGTGCACCTAGAGCCCGTGCTCCGCAGTAAGAGAAGCCACCGCACCTCAATGAAGAGTAGCCTCTGCTCGCGACAACTAGAGAGAGCCCGTGCGCAGCAATGAAGACCCAATGCAGCCAAAAAAAAAAAATCAAGAAAACAGATTTTTAACCAGGGCAATGAGAATTTTGTTTAAATTGCTCCCAGACAATGTCCTTTTCTTAAAAAAATTGTTTAGAAAAGTTACCTGACCCACTAAAAAATACCGGTAAAAGATAACATCTTGACTGATGGGGAAATAACAGAATGGTTACTTAATGGTTACCATTAAGGAAACAAAAACAAAAAGTGGACTTAAAGCCTAAGACAACTGGAGATTAAGATGCAACAGCCTTTAGTGGGAAAGAACTGTAAAGTTTTGGAATATATCTGTGAACTTGACATTGATCCCCACTAGTCCTAGATGGCAAAAAAAAAAAAAAAAAAGTTCAGGAGCACTCAGTGAAATCACTTCCTTTTCTAAGACCCAGCCAACATAGAGCTGTTAAAAATAAGCTTTAATTTTGGGGAAATTTAAATACAAACTGGATATTAGATAACATTAAGGCATTAGTGTCAGTTTTGTTAGATGTAATAATGGTGGTTACGTAGCAAAATAGAGATGCATAATTAGTATTTCTGGAGTAAAGTATATAATTTAACATACTGAGGGGGGAGGGCGGGGAGAAGTAATAATGAAGCAAATAAGGTAGTATGTTAACAACTGTTAATTTAAAACAAACAAAAGCCACCATAGCTTCATTACCTTTTTCGTCCAAAGTACTAGCCTATGAGAGTCAGGAGACTATCTAGATCTACTGTATCAGTAAGAAGCCTCAAGTCTTTCAGGATATCCTTGGAGAAGCATGACCTCTGGAGCCAAGCCAACGTGACTTCAAAACATCTTCTTTAGCTTCCTGGATATTTAACTCTAGGGAGAGTCACCTAACAGTTTCTTCGTCTATAAATCCCAGATACCGCTCACTTTGTACAATTGCTAAGTTTAAATGAACTAATGCTTGTAAAATGCCTACCACAACGCCTGATTATAGATGCTGCTCAATAAAATGTTAGTTCCCTTCTCTGCCCACCAACCCCTTTCACAAAGATAGCACAACAGGAAGAAAATGTTTCTGAATAAATGTTAAAAAGAATTGTAGCTGACTAAGCAATGGCATCCAAAGAGCAAAACTTCTGAGGTCTCCTTGCCACTCTGAAAACTGCTGACTCTATATCCTAACAGTACCTTCCTCTGTAACTGATCACCCTTTATGTACATAATCCTCATTACCCCTCATAATCACAGGGTAACTGATTTTCCCATGTTTGTCTCTCCCACTGAAATGGGATCTCCTCCTATGGGGCTGTGTTTCATTCATCCCTGCAACCTTGAATCTACCTGAATGTCTGTGTAACGTATGCATTTCCATAAAGCTTTGAAAATGAATAAACCATCACAGAAAGAGGTCTTTCATGGTATGGGACTACACTCTGTACATGCCCCACACTGCTGAATGTTCTGTAATCACCAACTCTGATAAAGACGCAGATGGCACACTTGAACAGGAAAAGCAGAAAAGATAATTAAAATATAGATAAACCCAATCATTTTGAAAGATCCAGAAAACTTGGAAGGGTAATTCAAACCAGGTAAGATGAAATGTAACAGGGTTAAAAGTAAAATCCTGCATTTAGATTTTTAATGCCCTAGTCACAAAATATAAGACTTAAAATCAAACAAAAAAAACAATCAAAAACTTTAAGATCCAAACTAGTAGGTAAAATGGTTATTGAGGCAGCAAATGTAGTAAACGCAGGTTTTCTTTTTATGTCCTTGAATGGGCCAATGATGAGAAAATGGCATGAGTCCCTGAAGTGTGAGAGAAAAAAAAGAAATTCAGAGTCCGAATCAATAGAGAATTTACCCCATGTAGTCACACAGGCTGGATTATATCTTTGTATTTGATTTTAGGAATCGTATTTTAATAAATGACACATATAAAATGTAAGAGCAACCCAAACCCAAATTGTAAAAGGTTCTGAAAACATGCTTCCAGAAGGGAATGACCGACTTCAGAGGTAGAAGGTGTGGTAAGATCCATCTAAATGGCAGGCTGCCAATTGAAAAGAAATTAATCTCTATCAGGCAGCTGCAAAAGGCAGAGTAGTAAGAGAAGTTAAAGGAAACTGGCTTTGGCTCAAAATGAAGAATTAATAACCAAGAGGTTATTTATAAATGTAACTAGCTGCTTTGATAAATGGTGAGCTTCTCAGAAATGTTCAAAAAAGGCACCAGATAGGGAAAGGAAATTCCTACTGAAGATGAAAGAAGACTGACTGAGTGACCTATAAGATCCCTTCCAGCCAGAGGAAGTAGCAATATATAAGTGTTTCACAAATATATACCCAAATGTTATGGAGACCAGTGATCACACATAACACAATCATTTCACATCAGTAGTTACAGGCTTGGATGCTTCTTTCTGAAATATTCTTTATGGTGCCAAGCTGGCACTCTACATATAATGGGAAAAATCAGTATGGAAGATACTCTGTTCATTGGTTGAAAGTATTTCAAGGTATCTGATAACTACATCCTTGCAAGTCCTAATTTGGGATATCAAGGGTGTTGGTCACTTGTATCAAAATCCACAATTCTTTTGTAATGTACCTTTCTTTTCCTTATCAGAGTCACATAAGAGAACAAAGAAAAATAATAATAACCTATCAAATATCCACTTGTCTGGGTGTGTCTTATCATCAGTAACAGTTGTATATTGCCTAAAAGTTTACAAAGGGCTTTCACATACATTATCATACACACATACACAGAGCTATAGATTTGGTTCTCACAACTACCTTATTAGTAAATCAAGCATTATCACACTCATTTTAGAGGTAAGAAACTGAGTCTCAGGAAAAAGACTGAAGTAAGTTAAACCCATGACTCTCTAATAAATAGCAGAATGAAGACAACAAATCCAAGTTTTCTGACTCCAAATTCAGAACTCCTTCCAGTTCAGGGTGTTATCAATTCTATATAAAGAACAGTCACTTGTTTTCTATGTTACCTCATACTAATAGCCAACTCTAAAAGATACCCAGAGATTTTTTTTTTATGACCATAGGTATGTCCACACCGGTAGTAGCCAGACCCATATTAAGTTTCTACTACAACTGCCTACTTCTAATTCAGGGTTGAGGATATAAGGATGGATAAGGGAGTGAGGATGGCACAGGGACACAAAATATTGAAAACAGAGAGCTATGGGTCACTTGGTTCTGCTAGTAACTGTAGGCAAATCACTGAATCTCTTAGCATCCATCTTCTGAGCTGTAAAATATGTAAGAAAAGCTAAGTTCCCTTCCAATAAAATTCTACTTTTCTACAGAGTTGGTACATACTATCTAATAAATACTCTTCAACTAAACCACATATGAAGAACCTCTCCTAGGTTTCTTCTAATGTTCCATAGTATTCAGCACAATAAAAGACATACGAAAATTGCTCAATATACTTCTGCTATAAGACAAGGTAAACCTCAACTTAGACCCCTTAGACCACACTGATAAAAGCACAAGAAAAAGAACTAGGACCAAGTTTGACTTAAAAACATGTATTTCTCTGCTTTACGAATAGAAAATTCAATGAGGAAGGTAATCTTATATCATTTTTAATCTAAACAATTCTTATTCTACCACTGTCATTAGATGAATGATTCTTAAGATACTTTAATTTTGTTAACATATTAATAACAAATACACTCTAAATTTACCAAAATAATTTCCACAAAAATTTCTAGTCCAAAAATTACTTACTATTTGAAGTTTGATCGTTTTCCCATCTAACTCTATAGTTCTTATTTTGAAATCCACACCAATTGTGCTGATATAGCTTTCTGTATATGTATCATCCTGAAGGGAAAGAAAGCTAACAATTAAAATGAATGTTCAATAGAGTAAATAAGAAAATATAAAGTTAATTTTTATCTACAAAGCTGATAAACAAAGTTTATAAGGCATAACATGTTGAGAACAGCCACTCCATCCTCTCCTGCACTCTGTTCATGTTCTGAAGACAAAGTGCTATTTAACAATGGTTTCTTCTTAAAACTTTTTTTTTCAATAGCTATTCTTTAATTTTTCCAAACATCTCTTGGCAAATTCTTTACATACATCACATAGAGAAAGGTTTTATATTTTCAATGATCATGAAAGATTTTTCTAATTTTCTAATCAGTGGAACTCTTGCTCCTCCCCATCCAACTTATTCACCACAAAGCTATGATCATGTCACTCTCCTGAAATTTTTTAGAAGTCAATTTTATTTCTTAGTTACGACTTTTTAAACAGATATAACTCACATACATGAAATTCACCCTTTTAAAATGTACAATTCAGTGTTTTTTAGTATATTCAGAAGGTCGTGCAACCATCAGCACTATTTAATTCCAAAACATTTTTTCATCACCCAAAGAACACTCTATACCCAGCAGCACTCTCCATTTCTTCCTCTCGCCACAGACTCTGGAAACTACTAATCTACTTCATGTCTCCATTGATTTGCCTGTTCTGGACATTTCACATGAACGGAATTATATACAATGTGGCCTTTTGTGTTTGGCTTCTTTCACTCAGCATAAACTTTTCAAGGTTCAGCCATGTTACAGCATGGATCATTCCTTTTAATGGCTTCATTCCTCTTCATGGCTGAAAAATAGTACCCTGTATAGATATACCACATTTTGTTTATCCATTCATCAGTTCGTGGACACTTGGGTGGTTTCTACATTTTGGCTATTATGAACAATGCTGCTGTGAACATTTGTGTACAAGTTTTTATGTGAACAATAAACTTTTAAACTTTTTAAATTACACCTTTTTTTTTTAATTGAAGTATAGCTGATTTACAATGTTGTGTTAATTTCTGCTGTTCAGCAAAGTGATTCAATTATACGTATATACAAATTCTTTTTTTTATTCTTCTCCATTATGGTTTATCACAGGAAACTGAATATAGTTCCCTGTGCTATACAGTAGGACCTTGTTGTTTTTCCATTCTATATATAATAGTTTCCGTTTGCTAACCCCAAACTCCCACTCCATCCCACCCCATCCTCCCCTCCCCTTGGAACCACTTCTATGTCTATGAGTCTGTGTGAACCATGTTTTGAATCGTGAATCAAACCAACTATAATGCCACACTTCTTAGACAACTAGGGAAATTTATTTTGTTAAGTCAACGAATGTACTTTATAGGAAAATGTCCAGTTCTTAGAAATACATATTGAATTATGTAAGGGGAAAATGACACATTTGGGATCTGCATTTGTGGCACTCCCAACAAAGAGAAGGGGAAAAAGGATTAAATGAAGCCAGTGTGGGGAAGCCTTGATAATGCTGAACCTGATGTGTACATGAGACTGAAACAAAGATCACTAAAGAATAAAATGTGATCAGATAGAGTTCCAAGTGGCTAGAGGTAGCTATGTTGACTTATCCTCCACATATATTCACATTAATGCATACATAGAATCACTGGATAAAAGGATACTCTTGAAGCATTGGCTGCAATTTGACAAAATACACATCATTAAATTTAAATTTTTTACTTGTCTAATAAGAATCAGGTACTATAGAAAGTGGATAGAGAACAAAATGAATGCAATAAACATTCATTCAAGCACTCGTACATGCCACTTACTTTGTTAGAAATACTTATAAATGCTGTTAGAATTCTTATAAACCCCTAAATGACCCTCACTTGCGTGCCTCTGAACCATTGCACGTGCCCTTCCTACTGTCCAAATTCTCAGTACCTCCTTCTCCCCACTCCCAAGTTTTATCCCCCTACTCCCCAGTCCCTGGGTCACATGGCAATTTTTATTCATTTTTCAATTCTGAGCTCAGGAAATACTGACTGTCCAAACATTCCCCAACTATTCAGCCAATAGTTAAGAGATTCTTCCCTCTGTGCTCCCAAAGCTTATTGTACATTTATCATACCTTTCGCAGCTTGTCTCTACTTCAGGGGTGTGAGAATCAGTATTTTCAAAATGCATCCTAGGTGATTCTACTGTGTAGGTAGTATGAAAACCTATGACTTAGGTCAATAGGCATCCTGGAAAGAATTTTCTTTGAAGCAAAAATACCTCAGGCTATAGCCATTTTCCTCAAGAGAGGCCAGCTTCTTCCCACCTACCTAGAATTGCTGATTTTTTTTTTGAATTGCTGATTTAATACTAGGAATTATTCTTAATTTTAATTAATTTTTAATATTTGCCAATTTAATAAAAATTAAGTAATATCTAACTTTAAAGTCCTTTAAATACAAATAAAATTGAACATTTTTTTCATACTTATTGGCAATTTGTATTTCTCCTTTTGTGAACTGCCCGCTCATGTATTGCTCGTATTTCCATCAGGGCAAACTTCCTTTTATTATTAATGTGTAAGTGTGCTTCATATATTGAGAATATCACCCCTTCCTCATATATATTTTTTTCCTAGTACCATTTGTTTTCCAACATTTTTATGTGCTCAGCATTAATCTTAATGCAATCAAATTTAACAATCTTTTCTTTCCTGATTTTTTTCTGTGTTAGAAAATACTTTCACACAAGATTAAAGAGCCACCTAGGTTTTATTCTGGTACTTCCATGGCCTCATTTTTTAACTATTATATATAGTGAAGTTTTATATATATAGGATTCATTAATATCACTTATATCATCAGAAAAGTCATATTAAGTATTTGAGGTGCTGTCAAGCTTGCAGTGGTGAATTTTAAGTTTTCTAAAATTCTAATTTTCCTTCGAAAAGCTTGAATTTATTACAGGCAGCAAATGCTGTTAGATATTTTCCTTGAAGTGATAATGTCTGTTCATCTGATAAAATGTGTACCCAATACTCAATTCTACATAATTATAGTTTGTTAGTTGTTCTTTCAAATAAAAAAAAAAAAAATGTTCAATGAAAAAAGCAGCTAGTTTAACTCAAAATGGAAACAACTATACAAGTGCTTTTCTTTCCCTTGAGACAGCCAACATACTCCAGTCTTCAGTAAAACTACTTTATGCAAACTCCTCATTTCTTCACACAGAATATTTAAAAAAAGAATACTCGAGGATCAAGATTTTATTAATCATTTTTAGAAGCAACCTAAGTGTCCATCAACAGACTGAATGAATAAAGGTGTATACATACACATATACATATACATACAATGGAATACTACTCAGGCATAAAAAAGAATAAAATTTTGCCATTTGCAACAACATGGATGGACTTGGAGGGTATTATCGTAACTGAAATAAGTCAGACAAAGACAAGTACTGTATGATATCACTTATATGTGGAATCTAAAAAAATAAACTAATGACTATAACAAAAAAGAAATAGACTCACAGTTTGTTCATAGAGAACAAACTGGTGGTTACCACTGGGGAGAGAGAAAGAGGGAAGAGCAAGAAAGGGGTAGGGGATTTAGAGGTACAACCTACTATATATAAAATAAAAAGCTACAAGGACATACTGTACAACACAGGGAATACAGCCAATATTTTATAATAACTATAAATGGAATATAACCTTTAAAAATTGTGAATCACTATGTTGTACACCTGAAACATATAATATTGTATATCAACTATACCTCAATTTTAAAAAGTATGAAAAAAATTAATCATTTTTACTGTTTCATCCAAGACACTCTTAAATGAAAATGGTCCCTGCTGTGAGTGAACAGAGGTTAAGTAAACACCAGGACTGTGAGTATAATTTGGGGCTTAGCACTACTTCAACATGGTGCTAATAAGGCACCGGCAGTTCTACCCACCACTGCTTTTGCATCATCAGAGCAAAGATCAATAGAGTGAAAAAAGGCAAATGTCTTGCCTTAGTACTAAGTAATTATTTACTTAGTAAATACTAATGGTTTAGTGTTATTAGGAAAGTAGTTTTGATCTCATGGACCCCAAGACGTCTTGATAATCCCCACTGGTCCATACTCTTAAGAACCAATGATCTAGACAGTGAGAAGGAAAACATGCTAAATTTGAAGGCAGTTGATAAGACTATAAATAAGACTGTAGATCTTATTTATTAGGTTGAAAGTTACTTATCAGTTTGTAAATTTCAGCATATAGAACACTATGCCATTGTCAAAAAAATTTTGTACCAGGCCCCGCTTTTTCTTTTTATTCTACTAAAGTTTTACTTGAAGATTTGTTTTCCATCAAGTCACTTTCAACACAGACCTATTATTTTCCCCTTACCTCACTATTTATGTTGGAATGAAACACTGATCTCCAAGAAGAGTATTAGACACTCTGACTTTATAACTACACTTTGCTTGAATTTCTTTGAAGAGCGACAGCATTTCTTCTATTTAAGAGTCTAGATATCACTGGGGATGTACACTTGGAGGCTTTATATATAATATATAAATCCTGGAAGAATTAATATTCTGAATAAAACTGTTTAATCTTTTGTATCCCTAGAAAACATAAACAGCATTAATTTCTTTAAAAGCATTTTGATTTCAACTTACTGCAAACCTAAGAAGGAGGCAAGACTTTCCAACTCCAGAGTCGCCAATCAGAAGTAACTTGAATAAATAATCACTGCAAAGAGAAAAAGAAAATCACATTAATAAAAAGCATATTGTATTTTAAGTTCTACAACAAAAATATAGCCAAGAATAACAGCTCACTGAGGAAGACTACAGCTCCTGAAAAGCCCAAGAACAGCCTAACAGAAGACCAAACTGCAGCAAACAGCAGGAGCCCTTTTGATGAATCACTGAACATGACAGAATTATGTAAAAATAAGATAGGCAATGCCACCCATGATCTCTAATATCAGCTGAACTTCCACTTCCAAGCAATGAATGAAAGGAAACATAAGTGATATGCATGCATTCTTGGAGGGCCCAAGACCTATGCTAGAAAAATCCCACTCTTCTGCAATATTAGAATACCAGGAGTTAGCTTTTCATTTTTCTTGCCAATGAAACGTATCTCTCCTTCAAATTCCAATCTAAAGTCATTATTTCATAAGAATCCTCCAACGAAGGGCTTTTATGATCCTTCCCTAGCATCCACCTGCAATTCTCTCCCTTTAAAATGGATCATTTAACTTCTGAAAGTCTGTATTATAAATATCTTAGACTGGAGATGCAGTAAAATCAAAGGCTGTGTAAATGCACAACTTTCCCAACAGTCTAAGCTTGTATTAAAGCACTCTTTGGAAAACACTGAAAGCTAGGCTACGTTTACGCACCTTTACCACTGCCAAACCTAACTCAAAAAACCATTCCCAGGCACGGACATATACACACTACCAAATGTAAAACAGATAGCTAGTGGGAAGCAGCCGCATAGCACAGGGAGATCAGCTCGGTGCTTTGTGTCCACCTAGAGGGGTGGGATAGGGAGGGTGGGAGGGAGATGCAAGAGGGAGGAGATATGGGATATATGTATATGTATAGCTGATTCACTTTGTTATACAGCAGAAACTAACACACCATTGTAAAGCAATTATACTCCAATAAAGATGTTAAAAAACAAAACAAAACATTCCCAGGGATTCTTCCATGAACCTGAAGACAACACACGGTCAGCCAACGGTCTCCAAAGGAATCTCTCATAGATTGTTCCCAACTCTGACCAATTCCGTATGTTCTTTTTTTTCTTTTTTGGGTACGCGGGCCTCTCACTGCTGTGGCCTCTTCCGTTGCGGAGCACAGACTCCGGATGCGCAGGCTCAGCGGCCATGGCTCACCGGCCCAGCCGCTCCACGGCATGTGGGATCTTCCCAGACCGGGGCACGAACCCGTGTCCCCTGCATCGGCAGGCGGACTCTCAACCACTGTGCCACCAGGGAAGCCCTCTGTATGTTCTTTTAAAGCAATGTCAAAATGACAAAAAATCCAGAATTTACAGATTTTTTTTTCAGAAGATATACATGATTCTTAATTTTCTTCCTTGTGATTTAGTTTAAAAAAAAAATGCTACGTACTTAAAGTGAATCCCAAGTATCACTTGCAAATGAAGTGTAGATTACAATTATCAGATTTACATGTAAGCAAGATGTTTAGAAGTGATTATCTCTGTGAATATTAATCAACTGTTACCTAGGTTTATACAGTGATATGTATTACTTAAAACATAGCTTTCTGGTTTTACCGAACTACCATAGTACACTTATTGTTCCTAATAATACCTAAAGGAAAGAATTTTTTTGAAAATCCAAAGTGCCCTAGTCAGCAGCAAAATAAAGGTCACAGAAGGAAGTAAGCTTTTAAATAAGTCATTAGGAAGAGTTGATTGAAACACAGGATGAACTTAACAACTAACATCCTTTCCAGTTTGAGATCCTAAAGAAAAAAGGGGGTAGTGGGGATAATGATTATAAAAATTTACCCTTAATAAATTATTGGTACCTAATACCAAACAATTTTTATTTTAGTCAATACCGTTGCTGTGCTGACTTGCTTCAGTACTACTGATAGCTTTCTCTTTAATTAGACCAAATGAATTCTTAAGAATGCTGAACACTGAACATTAGCAATGAATTTACATTTCAGTCAGCAAGAAAAAAAATCACACCACCGACACTACTACAATTACTTAGTTTTTAACAAAAATTTTGATACAACAAATGACCTGAATTTACCAGTTTCCCTCAGGACAGTGCCAGGCATCCAGTAAACACTCAATAAACATCCTCTGAATCAGTGGTACTGGACCCCTTTACAGTAAAAGACAGCACTGGGCCACATATGCTGCCTGTGGTATCATTCATTACCTTAAAGATAATTTCCCTCTTTCAGAATAACCATAAGGCTGTAAAAAACATGAATGCTTCCTAACTGTGCTACAAGTTACATTATGATTTCAAGGAAATTAGTAGTCAATTTTTTTTAAATTACTTTTCAATTATCATTCTTTTTAAATTTTACAAATGGCATTATTTTGAAACGTTATTTATGAGTTCCTGATAATTTAAGGCTCAGAGCCATTGTAAATAATATGTAGAGTTCAGCACTCTGTTCCAAAATGAACCTTGTCAAAGAAGGCTATTTTGTTCTCTCCCAAACCATCAGCTTCACTAACACAAGAGACGTGGAGGAGAATGGCAAACAAAATCAACTAACAAACTGCTTGCCTTATTGAGTTCACACACCAGGAGACTGTGATCAACAGCATGTTACCTGCACTGGAACGTTTTAAATTACCTACTCCTATAGTACCTTATCTCTAAACTATTAATAAACAGGATGTACAAGAGAATTCAGATTTGAGATCACTTAAAGACATTTCTGTAACTATATTTACAAGACAGAACACAGTAAAAATGTTGATAGGAAATATACAAATCTAAAGTTAGAAAGCTCAATATCAGAATTTTGGTACAGAGTCAAGAATAATTTAGCAAATAGTAAGATTTTAAATGTATTTTTCTTTTATTCTCAAGAATTTGGATTAAGTTTTCAGTCTGCAATACCATTTTGACTTAAGTGAAAAAATTGAATTATATCAGTTGAGAAATCTTTATGTACAACTGTAATCACCACTCACCTAAATCAGATAGTTCTAGTAAATCCTATCCACTGTTCCCAATCAGAATTTCCTCAGGTTCTTTTCGTGTCTAATTTACTATGACAACGACACTTCATATTTTCTCCCCATAAGTAGTCTGGAGTCTGTTTTTCCCCACTCTTATGTTTAACATACCTATCTGTGTGAAGGTAAACTGACTTATTCATCCAAAATATAACACTGTGCCTTTTACAAGGCACTGTGCTAAGAGATGAGAGAACATTTTAATTTTGCATTTTTAATCAGGTCTCTTTCATTGTGAGAAACACCTAAAGAATATCTATAGCCGTCCTTGAGTAACATTTTGGGTAAAATGCTAGAGAAAAAAATTTACAGGGACATGGCATGTTAAAAGGACAGACACCAACCTCAACCTCAATGGCCAAGGCAACAATCTGAGCCACAAAGTAAACAATCATGTACTGGATTATAACCCAAAGAATAAAATAAATATCCATGAGTCCCTAAGTGTATAAACCATTAACTAAATAAATAGGAGAGGAGAGACAACACTTCCTTACATGAGGATTCCAACTAATGCATGTAGAAGGGATGAGAGAAATAGAAAATCACTAGTAGATTTAACTGCTACAGGCAAGATCCACTGATGAACGCTAAAATTAGTGGGTGAAACTTCAAGGAGACTTAGGATATTTGCACGGCCTCAAAATTTGTCCCCCCCAAATATTTATTACTGCAGTGGTTTTAACATATGCCCACAAATTCTTTGAACACTCCTCCCTCCAGGAAGTGGAGCTTAGTTCCCTTCCCCTGAGTGTGGGTTCTTAACGACTGGTTTCTAACAGAGTGTAGAAAGGGAAAAATAGTAATTTTATACCGGAGAAACCTGACAGATGCCACCTTTACTAAGTGATCAACGTGAACATCACCAGCAATAAGTCATATTGATATTATGTACCTTCTGATATGATGTAATGAGTAGAGTGCTTCACCTCTATGGTATTTCTCTCCAAATCCATAACCCCAGTCTAATCATGAGAAAACATCAGACAAATGCATACTGAGGGAAGTTTACAAAGTACCTAAACTCTTCAAAACTGTCAAGGTCATGAAAAATAAGACTGAGAAACTCATAGACTGAAGGAGGCTAACATGACATAACAATTAAATACAATATGGTATCTTGGATTAGGTTCTGGAACAGAAGAATGACATTAGTGGAAAAACTGGAGAAATTGGAATAGAAGTCTATAGTTTAGTTCATAGTTTACCAATGTTAATATCTTAATTTTGATAAATGTACCATGGTATATAAGATGTTAATATTAGGGGAAACTGGGTGAAGGGTATACAGGAATTCTCTGTACTACTCTTGCAACTCTTCTGTAAATCTAAATTTATTTCAAAATAAAAAGGTTTTAGAAAAACAAACTATGAGGACATTAGTGAAATAGGTACAATCTTGTTGAAAAGCTAGCCCCTGATATTTTTTAAACATGAGAGACATATTTTGTGTTTTCTCGAGTTAAATCAACAATCGTAAATCATGCTGGATTCTGTAAAATAAAAACTTTGCTTTTGAGGCACAAGTATGTTTTGAGAATATTAATTTAAAGTGGAAATAACTCAGTGAGAAAGTAAGACAGTTAAGACTGACATAGATTAAGGCTCGATGGAAAGGGGCAGATTCAACCTTTTAATAATTGGATGGTGGGATGTCAAATATGGTAGCAAGTGAAAAATTATTTTTGCTATCAGTTTCTCCTTAAGTCTACTCCTGGTCTACTTCAGCAATACTCTAGATCCTCTATTTCCATTATTTATGATCTGAACATAATCGTGATACTCATGCCATTTTTGCATGTAAGCATTAACATTTTCTATACCTTAAAAAACGTCACTATTGTGAGAGCATGAAACAATATTTTTAAAAAGTACCAAAACCCATTTTGACTCAAAATTCTATTTAGGTAAAATGTTTTCCTTTTTAATGAAGTTACCAAACTACATCTATAAAATATGAAGTAGGAGATGAATCTGCTTGTTGCTGAATCTAAAAT